TGATCTGTCAATCTTTCTCTCAGAATCCTTAGACATCCCCCCCCCCCCTTCCCCTCCCTGATGTGTCACTATGTTGTATCTGTGTGCTCAGCAGGGGAGCGAGGGCAGACTGGGGATAAGGTTAGCAGGCTTACAGCTGTGTTTATCGGTACACAGGTGAGCTCTGGGACTCTGGGTCGTCTGGACAACACATATGGCCCTGGCAACCACAAAACACACAGGATCGCCTTTTACTGCTCGCAGCTGATTCACAGTGAGCAACACAATTGTTTACGCACGGAAAATCACACTCAGACTGATCTTAAACAGTTCCACTTTTAATTTACTCCTAATTACAGCAAAGTTGATAGATTGCTGATTTAACTGCCTCTAAGTTTGGTTCATGTGGGATTTTAGGCCAGGCCTGCTTGATATTTTCCATCTGTCATTTGCCCACATCCCTAAATTGCTTGTGACTCTTGCTAAATAGCAGACGTAGAGTGCCATGCACTCCGGGTGTTGCTAGGTTACATTTCTGGGTTGCTACTGGCTAAGTGGCTGCGGGATCATCGATGGACTCTATGCAAAGAGGGCTGACAGCAGGTCCTCTGGACTATTTGGCAACTCATGCGTCAGACACTCTTGAAATCCCACATCTGGTGGCAAACCCATACAAATCAACATCAAAGTGCTGTCTTTGAGATTGGACCTGTCTGTCACCGTCTCTGCCACCCTCCTGTCGTCTTCCATTTTCACATCCCGCTCTTTTCCACCTCGTCCTGTGCCTGCTTTGTTATCCCTCCTTTGCTCTGCCGCTGTCACTGCCGTCTCGCCTCTCTCTCCCTCCTGCAGAGAGGTAATCAAGCCCTGTTGCGCGTGTTTAAGTATCTGAGCAGATGCATGTTGAATTATTCTTGGGACTTGGATGTTTTGTCTGCAAGGCCACTCTCCTGTACCTCATGCTGAGGAACAGCCACACGAACAAAATCCAACAACTCGCACACAAACACTTAGTCAGTCACTGAGTCAGAAATGAAGTCAGTCACACGGATCTCATGTTGACAGACAGTTACAGGTAGGAGAAAGATAAGACCTGACAGACAACCCACAATGATACACTTACTGCAGCTACAGTATGACACAAGTAACCACAGCCCAGAAAGGCAGAGTACAAGGTTGTGCAATGGAGTATTTCCTCAAGGTATAAATACACATCCACACGAGGTAACACACCAATATGCACACACACCGACACTAAGCGGCATTGACACAGACAAATATTATAATAAATATCCTCAAAGTTGAAAAAGTGAACCAACAAAGATCAGACAATGTAAGAACTCATCTGCTCCTAATTCCCTCCTGTCTCCCACTCCCCTCACATCTGTCCCCTCCCCAAACCTGCTTCATTTTTTTTATTTTTTTTCTACCGCTCTTCCACTCGCTCCTAATCTATCTCTCCTCTTACTCTCCATCCTGCCTCTAGCTCGACTTCATCATCTTCTCTTCTCTTCCTTTTTCTCTCTCCGTCTTTCTCTGTGAACTTAAACTCACTGTTGAACCGCAAGCTGTTATCACATACTCTCAGAGTTGCTTTTATCTCTTTTTCTCAACACACACACACCTGGGTGGTCATTATGATATACAAAGCTTGGTTAAGGCATTGATGGGATTGGTGTCGTTCATATCTGTATGTGTGTCGTTGCAGTGGCAAAAACATGCTGGAGAAGATTGGATTGTGTTACTGAGTGTCATGTAACGGCATGGGAAAGCTTTGAACTGTCAACAACACTTAACACTTTATGAGAGAAGGGAGATTCTGTATATAACTGATTCAAAGACTTAAGTACTGGTTAGTCTGCCAGGTTACTCAGTCTTGCTAGCACAACAATACTCCACTGTTTTAGAATTGCGCCCTTATCATATATATGACGAGATTGATGCTATGAACCACAGGTATTACCTTTCCTTCTTATGTAATACGTTTTTCCTTCTCCACACCTGAAGCCTACATTGCCCACAATGCATCTACATGGCCAACAGTTCAGATATAGGTGGGTTTTATGCTAGTAGTAGTTAATTATTTAGTTGGCCCCTATGTTCACTCTGATCGTCAACAGACCTCTGGAGCTGTATGAAGTCTTATCCTGCTTCAAACACTCAAACATCATCACACCCCAAGAAACCCTCCATCACAGGAATGACTACAGTCTGATATCAACATGACGTCTGTCAGCCACCTGCGGGACTTCACAGGCCCCCTTGCTCGACCCCCTGCATTTTACTTACCGGTACTTACAGTGAAAACAGATAGTGGAAAATGTAGTCAGTCTGGGACTGCATTACATCCTGCGACACCTACGGCTGACTCCCCGGGGACCTATGCATGGATCCTGTTTGAGGACCTCAGCTTGGCATTCAATACCATCATCCTGGATGTCCTCCACCACAAACTGACCCAGTTGACAGCGCCTATCAGTGGATCACCAACTTCCTGACTGACAGGAGGCAGCAGGTGAGGATGGCGAGCATCCCATCCAGCACCCTGGCGCCACCCAGGGTAGCGTCCTCCCCCATCTGCTCTTTTCCCTCTACACCAACGACTGAGCCTCAGGGGACCCTTCTGTCGAACTCCTCAAGTTTGCAGACGACAGCACTGTCGTCGATCTCATCCGGGATAGTGATATGTGTACTTATAGACGGGAGGTGAAACAGCTGGTCCTCTGGTGTGCTCCTACCACCTGCAGCTAAACCTGCTCAAGACCGTGAAGATGACAGTGGAATTCAGGAGCAACCCCGCCCCCTACACCCTCACCATACTCAACAGCACTGTGTCTACTGTTAGCACTTTCAGGTTTCTGGGATCCACAACCTCCCGGGACCTAAAGTGGACCTCCCACATAAACACCACCAGGAAAAAGGCCCAGCAAAGATTGTACTTCCTGAATCAGATCAGAATGTTCAACCTGCCCTCAGGAGCTGCCGATAACGTTTTACACCACCATAATCTAGACACATAATGTTTAAACCTCTCTCCTCCAGTAGGCATTACAGATCACCGTATGCCAAAACAACCAGATACAAAAACAGGTTCTTCCCACAGGCTGTCAATCTGATAAAGGATAAACATACACATAGCTAGAACAATCACTGTGCAATAACCCTGAGACACAACAACCACTGCACCAAGTGTAGAAACATAAGATCATTTATATTCATTTTATGGACACATACTTTGAAATGTATATATTATTATCCTCCTTATCTGACATTAATCTATTCTATTTTACTGCTTTAATGTAAATGCTGCCCATCTGTAACAGTATAACATCATTTATTATCAAGTTTACATCAGCATCCTTTGCACTCCTCACCACTGCCTTATTGGCTTATGTAGGCTCGTACATATTAGTGTATTGTTATAATAATATTTTATGTTTAATGTTTGTACATGGAGAGCATAGTTCAGCTGAGTTAAATTCCTTGTGTTTGTAGACATACAAAGCCAATAAAGCTGATTCTGATCCTAATTTCTGTGTCACTAGCCCGCAGCGTAGTTGAGAATGAGGCTATGGAGGTCTGGTTAGCTCTTTTTCAAACTCCACAATCCCTGATTTTGTAGTCTTTATCCCCCGCCTCAATGACTCTGAGGGAAATCACTTGAGGTAATTTATCAGACTTTGCACAGCTCCCTGTGGAGCAACAAAACAATTTGGAGAACCTATAGAATTACTCTCAACATGTGTTAACTGTTTTTAAGTGAGTTTCTTTTGTAAATCCAATTCCCGGAAAAAAAACTTCATTAACTTCATTCCTATAATTATTTTCTTATGCAACTTATGTGTTAAGCTATTACTGCAACAAAAAAAGGTCAATTGAGTGAGTAGTTCCCATTCTGAGGTCTGTGCCCACTCAGAGTTTGTGACATAAATTGTAAGGAGGTAAAAAACTGAGGAAAATACAGCAAGAACAAGATGTTGTCTGTTCTTTTGGTTTTGTTTGACACAAGTCAGTATCTGTTGCCTAGAATGTGTTCTTGGCTTTTTCAAACTTTGATCACGCCAACTCTGAATTGACTGACTCATCTGGCATTGTGACATCAAACCATAGTTTCTCAGGTATAAGTAATGACTCTAATGACAGCTAGAGGCAGATTTAAGATTAGCCAATCAGTGCCATGGGTGGGAAAAATGCCACTTTTCAGCATTGCCAAACTTTGGGTCTCAACAAAGAAGAAATGAAAACAAAAATGATGCCAACTTGAACACAAAGCCAGTATGTTTGAATGGCCTATGAGTTGTTTGTGCATTTGTGCCGAAAACACGACTGTGATTTTTTTATTCCACCCTTTAATGACTTACTTAATAAAATGAAAAAAAAATCAGTGACAGCATGCGATGAAACAGAACTAAAGACTTACCCCTTTATACTGCATCATCAGTATCTTCAAAGAGGATAAAACGTGAGTTTAGCTACAGACTTTCTCTTATTAATGTCTAGATGCTGGTGCTCTCCCTCACAGTCACATGTCGTTTTTTAGGCATCAGAGCAGGAGAAGATTTTCTTTGGAACTAAAACACCTTGAAAAGCTTTTTCTGTCATGTTGAATCTTCAGTTTCATCACATTATACACGCTGCAATGGAGTGAACTTAATAATTGAGTGCCATTTACTCTGCTATAAATGGAAGGCCGCCAGTGACATTATGGATACCAAGATGAGTTTCTTCTGTTGGTTGAGTTTGAGCAGCGAAGAAAAAACTCCTGTTCTGTTCATGAGTTTTAAATAAGAAGAAAAGCGTCCAGCTCCATATTTGGAAAACAGAGCAAAGAAACAAAAAATAAGGCAAATTTTTTGTTTCTTTGCTTTTTATTACACCAAGGTATTTGTAATCTATTGTGCTTCTTGTATATTTAGGGCAAAACACTTCGTAACTTTCCCACGCTATCAAAACCAAAAACAGTCCTGAGAAACCTCCAGCAGTGTCACTCAAGTCTAGCTGGAACTACACGTTGTACTCACACTTTGCTGGGAGCCCGTAGCCACAAGTTATCTTCGCCTCTCCGGTCTTACAGCCGCGGAGGGAAGCACACTCTTTTTTAAGCATGGGACCTGCAGCACGGTGGATTGCTCCGTCCACTGGAAAAAAAGAGAGAGAGATCATTCAGAGTTGGCCTAAATATGTGAATATCCTGGCATTTAGGTGCTCACAGGGTGTCTAAATGCTGTTTCAAGTCCAGCAGACACATCTATAGGTATCACATTATAGTGCTTAATGAACCCGGATGATTTTAGTGATGAGCAGTTGAAATCCTGCTATAACTGGTTGCTAACTTCTCACCCTGAATCCAGTTTTCTTTTAATAAGTCAGAGCATCTGTCTCCACACGTCAGTCTATTTAATGGATTTTAGGGCAACTGCTTAGTTAATTACCTGATTTAATGTCTTATTACAGACTCAGCTGACTTTGACTTTTTGGTCAATTAGTCTTTATTAATTACATTTTCATATATCTGCATAATACTCAGGAATTAGTATCTATCCTTGATCCACACCGCATCAAAAAAACGTGACTGTGTTCATTTCCAGGAGGGCAATGATGCAGGAAAAAGCAATTTTTTACAGCCCTTCCAATTACAGTTTGAGTCATAATCTCTGCACCTCTCACAGCCAAGACACATTTACTCAAAGTTAATATTTAGACCATCTGGATCTCAAGCAGCTTTTTAAGTTACATGGACCCACAAACGCAACATTTCACAAAAGACAAAACAACTTGTGATATGGATATAAAGTACACATCTTTTATTATGAAACAAAATGTAATTTCATCCTATATGATTAGCGACTGATGATTTTGACATAATACAAATGAATTAAAAAATTCAATAGATCTTTGTTTTATTTCTTGTGGCACAAGAGACATCAAAAAGTGACGAAGCATAGCTTGAGTTTTTTCCTCCTTCTTGTCATTTTAAAACTAAGTCTGTTTAGTGAATCGTGGACATTGATCAAAACAGAAGTTCATACTGCTACTTTGCCTCAAGCAGTGAGCCAATCAGGAGCTTGTTTTGATTGAGAATGCGGTCTAGAAATGATTATACACCACTCACATGCAACAGCATGAAGCCACATTTTGTTTCAACACTATTTATATCTATATAAAAAAAAGTGTTTTTCTCAATGTATCATTTAAAACAACAGGACATAAGGATTAAAAAGGAAAAATGCCTGAACTTGAAAAAAGAATGCTGACATTCATGGTCTTTGTTTTAAAAGCCTTTGCCACCAGCACACCCTGAGTCAGAAAATGTTCACTGACAGCATGTGGAATTTGCTTTTCCTGGAGTGTCTGTTTTTACATTAAAACATCCAAGTCCAGCAGCTGAAGAATAATTATCTCTATGTTTATCTTGGTGCACTATAGGATAGGGGAAGATTGTTTTTTTTATATATTTTTTTTTATATATATATATATATATATAAAAAAAAAAACTATGAAATGAAACAGTGTCTTGGGTTCATTTTATAAACTCTTAACCCAAAATGATACTATTTTCTTTACTTAAACAAAAGCAACACAAAAACATTTTTGGGACAAAAACTGATGACCTTCAGTCAGCATTTGTTATGCTACTTACACGCACTCGCCACTTTTTGGGTCTACTGTATTTTTTATAAGAAAGGCTTTAATTTAGCCACAGCTTTCGTGATAAGGGTGGTAGCTTAGAGTAGTGTTGATGTGGACTGCATCATATGGAAAGCTGCTGTCAATAGGTAATCCTCATGAGAGTGGAAGACTATTGAATACCTTTTAATATAGTGCACACAAGTACTGTTGAACGAGCCCACCATCTGCTACAAAATCAATGATTATGTGAACCAGAATTGTAAACAGAAAAACTAAGTGCTAAGAATAGATGACATTTGATTGTATAAGCTTTTCACAGACAATTCATTATGGTTGCTGTTCTTACATTTGAAAACGGTGTATTGCCAATCAACAAGAGCACCCCCCCCCCCCCAAAAGCAAAAGAGCATTGACTTTCAGCACCTGGTGAAAATATTACAATAACACCCATCCAGATGTCATAGAGAAGCTGCAACCTCCGGTGTTGATGAAGCCAAAATCCTGCAGTTCTTCCAGTGTCTGCTTGAGGCTGATTCAGCGGTGTGTTTGGTGTTATAATGTTATTGTGTTAAGTTGGCGTATTACATGTGGTGCCAGGCTGCGGTGTGCCATGCTGTGCTATGCCATGTTGAAATGGGCCGCATTGTAAGCTAAGCACAAGTATGAGGGTGTGAAAGGAGAGCCCTGAACGCTGGCTAGCTCCTCAGGGTGCACAGAAACAAGTTCAGATACCACGCTCACGCTGTGTGTGTGTGTGTGTGTGTGTGTGTGTGCGTGCGTGCGCATTTCAAATATTGATGCTGTGTATATCTTTGTCAAAGCACAATCGCTACTGTGCACAAATGTTTTTGTGTGTGTGTCTTTGGGACTGTGTGCATGTGTACGTGAAGAGATGTAAAAGTAACACGCACACTCAACACACATACACCGAGCACACAGCACAGCAACTTTGGAGCAGCCCTCCTCTGAAATAAAGAAAGTGTGATAAGACGAAGAGATGGAAAAGAGAAGGAGGGAGGGAGGGGAATGAGAGAGAGAGAGAGAGAGCAGCAGATATAAAAATAGTCTGCAGGGAGATAAGGAAACAGGCATGAAAAACTGAATCAAAAGAAATTGAAATTGAACTGAAACGTAAGCCAACAATACTTTCTGTTTTGTGTCATGTTTCATGTTTGACAGACACATAAATGTGTGCATGTGGGGGTGTGTTGGTGCATGTGTGTGTGTGTTTTTATGTTTAAGGATGAATAGTGGCCTTTCCCCCAGTCTTTCTGAGGTGAATGCATAGCCTCAGGCTACAGCAATGCTTTCTGACCTGGGTACTGCTCTGCTCAGTCCCACACAGAAAACTGTAATCCATGGTTACGGACACAGGCAAAGAATATACTGTATACATAAAAGCTCATATACAAAACAACTCACACAAGAGTATGCATACATGTATGAACAAACAGATACATGCCAAGATTAAGTAACACATGTACTTTCATATGAAAACCTGTTTAAAATACAGTTAATTTAGTCTATTGTGGTAAATGTGGAGCATGATTCATCCATGCTCTTTTATTGGCATTACATTTTCTCACTGAATACCTTCAAATCTAGTTGCGGTTACAGTAGCCAAATTCAAAAGTGTTTGTCCATGCCTCCTGGAATGAAGCAAAAAAGGACATTTCAGCTGACTTCCTGTTTCCTCCCTGCAGACACGAATAGGATACGATAGTATGATCATAACACTCAACTACATTCTCCAAATGATATTGGACCCTTTCAACATAGTTCTGGTCATTAAAAATGGTTCTGGTGATGTCAAGGAGTTTGTGATGCTAGAAACAAGTTCACAGGTTTTCCAGCCACATCTGTTTGCGATGATTGTGTATCTTTGAGGCAGTGCCATGTGATGAATACAGACGTTAATAAAGGAGACTCTGGTGACCAATTTGTATGTTCCGCCTCCTAGTGTAACTGTCATTACAGCGGTTGCCATCTCAGTGTCTTAAGGCCTTGATACAGCAACTTGAGGGCTTTGTCACAGGTATGTAATTTTTCTTGCAGAAGTTAGGTTCGTCTTTGGAGGACAGTCTCTTAAAATATGGAGATATTACCGCCGTGTTCTTGTTTAAAACTTGAGTAGGTGTACAACCTCAAAACGCAGCCGACTCACTCTTTCCTTTTAGCTGCAAACTACACTACACAGTCCATCACATTAACTTCTACATGAAACGGGCTTTGTGCACTCAGCCAAAGATGCCTTTGTTTTCCTCATGTTTAACTTAGATTGCTCTTAGTCAAATGGAAATGAGGAGGAACAAAAAGAGGCCCCTCCCTCTCTCTCTCTGCACCCTCTCTGAACCCGGTGAGCAGAATTAATAAATGTCCTACACCTCTTCCCTCTCTCACTGACTCTTACCTCTCTCATGTAGAGAGCTGTCCCTCTAACTACACTCACTGAATACTGCCCTTGTTAGCTCTCCATCAGCCTGTGGTAACTTCTGACTCTGTGGGAGCCGGTGTAATAGCTCAGCATGAGCACTGCACGCTACTGTTGTGTCACTTCAATGCGGTCAGAAATATGAAGGGGGGGGAGAAGAGATGAAGTAAAGCGCCACTGCAGAGCAGGCGTATATGCAGGTTTGTTAGGTAAGGAATGACTGTGACTGCGCGAATAAAAGATCAACAGATAGGGTAGAAATTAATTGAGTTAAATTAAATATTGACATATTTCAGGAAAAAAAAAAAAATATGATGGTGTTTTAAGTGTCACACATGATCTGATGAGCTGTTGCTCGGTCGGTACATTTACATGCAGTTAGAAAATGTCGCTTTACTGTGTTAGTCTGACTAAAACTGGACTTCTAACATATTAGTTTGACTGTTATTGTACTACACAGAATTTTTTTCAAAATCAGACGAACAAACCTAGATAATGCAGTTGGGGCTCGATTTACTCTTGCATGAATACCCCTCAATCCGACCCAAACTGGACAAGGCGCTCCAGGTATGCTCCACATTCCCCGCATCGGGCTTTGACCCGTGAGTCGAACAGCTTCAAAGCGTAGCAAAGCTGAGGTCTGTCTTCGGATATCACCATAAGCCAGAGGGATAGCGTGGATCACTTCGTACCAATAGTTAAGTGTCAAGTCGATACAAAATGTACAGAGCTTAAAGTTGTTCGTGTTTTCACCGTGTGACATTCAACCGGTATGCCACTTGCTGACTTGTTAGCAAGGTCAACAGGAAGAAGGTCCATTAGTAACTAGCTGGAATGGGGCATATCACTACCGACCGTAGGGGAGTTGGACACAACCCTGTTAATAAATCAATTCTCCCCCAGTGCTTGTATACAGGGACAAGGACTGTAGTCCAATTAAATGTCCTTATCGAGCTGTAATCGATGTAAACATATTGAGTGTTAAGTGAAAGGTCTACAACAGACTGAATTATCTGTACAACTATAGATCATCCTGGTATTTGTACAGACATTCATGTTCCCCTTGTGATTAAACAT